TCAATTCACTTTGTCTTTCATATTTATTCATTTTTCTCAAGTTCCTTCTTAGCTTGTAGTGGTTGCACATGTTAAATGGTTTATCAAATATAGTTCTAACTAATACACATTATTAGCAAAAGTATTTTAGAAAAAACAACATCTATTTATTACAAATAACTAAAATAATTAATTTTCTTAATCTACTCAATTTACTTTGTCTCTTATATTTGTTATCTTTTTTTTTCCAAGATAGACCTTATAGTACGTAGTTGCACATGTTAAATATTTCATCAAATATAGGTCTAGTTAATACATAGTTAATACACATGATTAGCAAAAGTATTTTAGAAAAGACCAAACCTATTTATTACAAATAACTAACTTAACTAATTTTTTTAATTTACTCAAGTTAATCAGTCAGATCTTATATTAAGTACATGAGGTATTACACACAAAACTGCAAGTAACTACAACCGCAAATGGTCCAGACTAATAGCTGGAGGCAACCACCATCCATTCTATTTTATTACCCCCTGTTCTTAGTAGTTAATATAAAAGCTAATTAAGGATTGGATTTAGTTCTAAATATAAGATTTCAGTCTATTTTTTCTCTAAAATTTATAATTCATTTTTTAAAGTATCCTTATTGATTACACATATGAAAGTGTTTTCATCTAAGGGTAGTCATTATTTTAAAAAAGTATTTTAAGAAAATCAACTCATATTTATTATAAATAATTAACTTAACTAACTTTTTTAATATACTTAAATTAGCTGTTATATTAAGTATAGAAATTAATACAAAATTTGAATTCAAATTTGTCATTTGGAAGGAAGTGGTTTTTGTAAATAAAAATGTACTCATCTAGTTCTATTTATAAGGCAGAGAAAGAAGGTAATTTTTTATCTTATTTATAGGGCACTGAGAAAACTTTTTTATATATATGTATAATTTTACCCCTCATTTATTATTGTATTGATTTTGTTTACATGAGGTATAATATATATTAAATAAGGATAAAGTTGAAAAATGACTAAATTTTAAATAAGAGTTAATAAAGTTTAAGGTTTTTCTTGGTCTTTGTGAAATATGTTGGAAGTTCTTTATAAATAAGACCAAATGAGTATCATCCAATGATTACAATTTATGAAGCTGATGTTCTACTAGGGCATTACATTAATAATCTCAGACTATCTCCTTTTAAAACTTGAGGGTGCCACTTTTTATGTTATGTGGTTATGTAGTGGTAGGAGAAGCTTTGGTGGCTGCCATGGAAATTACTCTTTCTGTTTTTTATTATAAGATCTAATTTTCTAAATGGATCTATTTTTTTATAAGATCCTTTTTGAATTTGTCTGAGTATTTAATGCATTATTACCTATTTTACCCCTATTTTAATGCATTTAATATATTTTCTTTCTTCATTTATCTCACTATTATTCTCTCACATTTACCCATTTATATATAAGGGTATATTTGAAAAAAAAAATATTTACCACATATTAATTGCTTTTAACTAATTTTAACTTTTTTTTAAATCGTGTAATTTAGTTAAAAGGATATTATAATAAGAGACGAAGGGAGTACTTGGCTAGGGGTGCATTGTTTCGTGAAAAACACACTTGATTCTATGCAAATCGCAAAGAGTCAAACATATAGAAAAGAAGAGTTAATACAATTTTTGGTCTTGAAATTTAGGTTTTCTCAAATTTAAACTCATGGTTTTAATCTCTGAAATTTAATCTGTCTTAAAACATTAATTCATAGAGGTGTAATGATGTTATAGTATGTCGAAGTGTCATAAATGGCATTAAATAGTAATGTGGACTCACTAGATAGCATCTAGTTAGATCTTATGTAGATATATAATAGGAAAAAAAAAAAGAACAAATTTTGAAAACAGAACATAACGAACGATTATACTGTGCTGTGTTTTTTAGAACTTATCCCTCTCTATATAATTTTTCTTTATGCCATCCATATATGATTTAACTAGGTGTTATTTGGTGAGTCCATAACCCTACTTTAATTCTATAACACTACTTTAACGCCATTTATGATAAGACAAATTTTAACTCTATTACACCCTTGAAGATTAACATTTTAAGGTGGGTTAAATTTCATACACTAAAGATACATGCTTAAAATTTGATGAATTAAAATTAAAATGATTCAAATTTTAAGGATACAAAATTACTCCTCCGGTCCTTATTATAAGACCCAATTTGACTTTTTATGGTTCTAATTATAAGACCCAATTTTGTCTCTTATATTTATGCATTTTTTTCCAAGATAATCCTTCTAATAATGATAGTTTTAGCCAATATACTTAATTAACAAGGAATTTTAGGAATAACAAACATTATTTATTATAAATAACCAACTTAACTTACTTCTTTAATTTCCTCAAATAAGTCAATTGAGTCTTATAATTAGGATCAGAGGAGTATTACCTTAAAACAAAAAGCGAAAAGCCACGCAGTAGGCTCATTATGGTAACCAAAACTGAAGCCATTGAAGCAGATTCCGACTGGGATGCATATCAGCGTTAATCCTTGAGAAACTACCAAATCAGCATACCCTAACAAGAGGACGTTAAAGAAACAGTGTTATTAAGACCCATCATTGCTTGAACAGAAAAAGCGAACCTTAATAGTGGCAAGGTGACATCTTCTCAAACAGTTAGCGGCAGGCAACAGGGTTTCCACAAGAGAAACTTGATTCTTGGAGGCAGCTTCAATTTCCATATGATTGGCCACAAGATGTGCTGCACAGGATGTTGCTATTACTCATCATGTCATGGTTTTATATAAATTAATAAAATTATTTAAAATTAGTTATTTTTTTAAATGTGAAAATCGTCCTTAATAAAAATTATCAATTACTACTTTCGATCCTAATTATAAGAGCAAGTTGATTAATTTGAAAAAATTAAGTTCAGTTAGTTATTTGTAATAAATAAGTGTTGTCTTTCCTAAAATATCATTGCTAATCAAGTGTGTTAATTAGAACTATCATTATTAGAAGAACTATTTTAGGAAAAAATATATAAATATTATAGACAAAATGGATTAAGATCTTATATTTAGAACCAAAATAAAAGTCAAATAAGATCTTATATTAAAAATCGGAGTAGCTAATAGTCAGGGACAAGACTTAGGTCGTGCATTTTATCCAGTTATCCATTCAGCTTCCCCAAATCCACTGTTAAGCAGCCGTTAATTCCAGGAAACTTTCTTTTCTTTTCTTAATAAAAGACAGAACGGGAGTCGCGGAGGTTGGGATCTGCAGTGGGTATTCTGGCGTGTGAAGAGATTGAGCAAATTGACCCAAGTCCCAACTCATATAATAGAGACGTGGGAAGGAAGAGAGAGATAAGCCCCATCAAAAAAAAAAAAAAACGATGGAGAGAAAGAGATAAATACTGTGATGTGAATTCTAGGATCCTTCGCCTACCTTCGGCTTCTAGTTCTAGAGCTTCTCTCTAAATAATTCGAATATGTCCTACGATTACATTGCCACTACATGTTTTAATTCTAATAGATCAATTACATTGCCACTACAAAACATTCCTACAATTAGTTTCTAAATCTGTCCAGGCAAGAAGGAAATAGCATTTGGCTTAAAGCGGTGAAATGAAATGTTCCCGACTTAAAGCGTGTGAAATGAAATGTTCCCGACTAACCAAAAAACCTTAGTAATGGCTGCGGCACTGTCCGTATTTGCAAAGGAAAACCATGCCAAGATCCTATTCTACAGCCATTGCCCCAAAAGGGAACGCAATTAAAGCGTCAGGCTTTCCAAAATGTTTTTGGGACGGGTTTAGAATTCTCAAGTATTAGTTCGAGTCCTAAATATAAAAGCTAGTAAAAGATTAAGAAAATAAATTAAATTAGTCATTTATAATAAATAGGTATCAGTTTTTTAAAAATATCCTTATTAATCAAATGTGTTAGCTAAAACTATCATTATGAGAAGGATTATCTTGGGAGAAAATATACAAATATAAAAACAAAATAGATTGAGATCTTATATTTAAAACCGAAATAAAAATTAAATAAGATTTTATATTAAGAACTTGAGATCATATCATGGATCCATCCTCGGCCGCCAGAGTCAATTAGCCTTCACCTCTCCTTGCCCCGATAGACGCCCTAGTCTGTTTTGTCTTTTTTTTTAGGGAAAAAAAATCTTTTCCAGAACTAACCGTGACTTGCAGTGGATTTGGGGTTAATTGCTTATGGGAAAAATTAATACAGGTGGCAGAAGCCAATTGGATACCTGGATATAACGAACCTAATTAACTAAACCTAAGTTTTATTCTTTAGTTAATTAGTTAGGAATACTAGGAAGAAAAGAAATATTAATAGGATATAAGACTAATTTGAAGATATTTTTTTAAATTTAAATATATTTTTTTAGAATTCTCTCTTTAAATTAAGGACCCTAAGACTTCATGTTTTGGTTAGTAATCCTCTACCGTTAAAATTACCATTAAAGTTAATGCTTTTTTATATCAAAATTTTTATTTTTTTTTACATGCCATATGATTTGAAAAAAAATAAAACACTTACAATTTGACACGTAATTTTAAACATTTTTAAATAATTAAAAAATTATTTAAAATATTTATTTTATCCCCTCCTTTTTAAATAAAAAAGTATAAAATTACTTAAAATTACATATCAAAATGTCACGTTTATTTTTTCAAATGACATAATATATAATATAAAATATAAAAATTTTGACATCGCCAAAATCCGCTAATTTCAATAGCAATTTTGACAATGGAAAATTAATAATCAAAATATAAAAGATTAGGATCCTTAATTTAAACTTTTAAAGATGAGGTCATACGCAAGTTTATGTAACTATGAAATATGTTAAAAGTCCTTATTATAGGACCAGAAGTAACATAGTTACTCTAATGCCTGGCACGAATCACCCTACAAGGCATAGCTGTAGTCTTTTGATTTCTCTCCCCACTCCAAAATATGGTGTAAATCTCCACAAAGCGTAATATAAAAGTAAATCTTCTGAAACTCCGCAGAGAAAAAGAATATACAGGTGACTATTCTGACGTCTCGTTAATACAAGAAGAAAAAGAAGGATTTGCCCTTAGATATCTCACTCGTTTTCCCTCAACAAATGCACACTTTTCTCACGTTCAGTAAAACTACTTGCAGGGTAAGTACGGTTAACAACATGATTACACAAGAAGCCCCACGCCTTTTCATTTCTTTATTAAAACAAGATGTAATTTCTTTACAAGTGTTCGAGCAATCTCACTAATTTACGTCACAGCTGGGAGAAGATACTGGACGCGAAAGGATGTTGTTATAAAGAGGATAAGGCGAATCCAAATCAAGCTGATCTAAGATATTCTGCGTAGCCCATAGATAAGAAGAGTGGCCTTCAATGTGTTCTGTCACGTCAACCTGCAAAACCAAATATCACATATTTTGTCTGAGATCCAACTCCGACGATTGATAATAATGCGTCAAGATCTCAGTATATAGCAACTTTCAAGTTCTAATAGTAGTTAACAGAAGGTGGATGGACATCTTACGTTTTGGATCCCAGGAATATTGATGGGCTGGATTCCAGCTAATCCTTTAGTAAGTAGACTGCTCAAAAATGAAAGGGTTAAATTATACTTTCTGCCTAACAGATTAATCGCTGTAAATTTTCTGGAGCCATATAACTATAACCCCATAACACTCCATTCCAAAAAGAAAACTTTGTAGAAACAAATACAATTCAAATTAAACAAGCAAAATCAGTTCACACAAACATTCTCACGCTTTTATTAAGTTGAAGTACCTTACCCAAAACTATGAAGAAAACATACAAATTGAACAAGCATAGTTAGATGGGACAATTGCTCTCTCTCTCTCTCTCTCTCACAACACACAGAGGGACACATTATTCTCATGCTTATCTCTAGTTGGAATGCCTTGTCCAATACTTGGCATAAAGAAGCATTCCAAAAAATAAATATTGACTAAATTACATTAGCTTGCTTCTTATTTTGAGGTTAACTTTTTAAAATTACAAGTGGTCAATTAGTTTGCGGATCAAAAGGAAATATCCACAACTCTGCAGAAATTCTATCAATCTACATCTTCAAGTACCTGGCACGGAAAGCAACTCCAAGCATCCAATCATTTCTAGTATAAGCATTTATGAACCTTCCTGCTACCATCTGTGGACCACAGAATTCAAAAACTTAAAAAGCATGTGATGGAACCTCTGACAATCTGATAATATTTAAGAAATAAAACAGCAATCCTCCGCCCAAACAGTATAAAATGGAAGAATAAATCACAGCCTAAGATATCACATCAGAAAGCAAAAGGAAAACAAGATGCGGAAAGAGAGAAAACAAAAACACTGAGTGGCTCACAAGAGGCCAGCATATCTCCCCTCATTGAAGACCTTTCCTCTGGTTAACATAACCCACACACAAACATACCCCTGTAACAACTTGTACCCTCTCATCCGTCGCATATTACATGTGACCCAAGGTGCCCCAACTAGTTGTGGGTTTCCTTTTCCTTTTGACATCTAGACACCTCATCCACTGTTAAAAGACAGCCTTGTACACTTCTTTGTTACCCTTGTTCGTTTTTTTAATACACTTTCACCACTTTAAGTTTAAGCCCCGTGTCCAACAGCACGGATTGCCTCATTGGCATAAAAGTAAAGCCAAATAAGGTGCTATAAAAAGAAGAATGAAATCACCTTTCTGGCAGCTTCCCAGTTCTCGTCCTTGATTGAGATGGGTGCTCCAAGAAGAACAACTCTTTCTACCAGTTCAGCTGCCAATAGACAGAACAAGCACCTTAAATCAACGAAAGGTGACTATTGCTCAAGTACGTGAAACCATTGGTTAGAAATTTTTAGAGTTGAAGTTCTAAGAAAACAGAAAGGGGTAGGCAAGCAGTGCTACTTACCATTGCTTTCGGTTTCAGCCAAAACCTGTAGACACTTGAAAATAACTCGTGCCCCAAGTGAGTACCCTATGAGTGTCACAGGCCTGAAACTCAGGTTAACAGAAATGTTGCTCCAAAATTATTGAAAAGCTGAATTAACAAGGAAAAACTTGAAATTAGCCTAGTACCTATTCCCCTGCAATCCTTTTAACAGTGCTTCAGCAAGCAGCTTTCCTGCTTTGTCTGATCTGAAAAGCAAAATTTAGATAAGCAGGGATTTGCTTATGAATTAAGGATGAAAAACTGCTCATGACAAAATTTTTCTGGGACAATGAAGCCGTCACATCCTGCACAGCCTTTCATATAAAAGAAAAGATAAATAGGTTCATGCTTGGGAGGCTAGACCACCCTGAAATTTCTCAAGTCATTCTGATGTATTAATAACAAAAGACAAGAGAAATTGACAAGGTAGTTATGTCAGCTGAGGAAGTTAGTAATGAACTAGCCGTTGGTACTTAGTAGCAAGGAATTCCTATATAAGGAAATAAGGTTGTAATTTGAGATTGCCTGTTTGTGCATACCCGAGTATCAGATTCTCTCTCTTCTGGCGTCCTCTCTTGTCGCTTCCCTTCTCCCCTTCCTTCCTCCAACCTCCCCCCACCCCAAAAAATAAAAAATAAAAAATAAAACTCCTTTCCCTTACCCTTCTCCTATCTTTGCCTTTCTGTTTCACCATAACATGTCACATTCTCATCCAAAATGCAGTTTTTGTTCACTTTAAATATAGCCCCTTTCATTTAGAAAAATAAATTTCATCAGAGAAGGGAGAGAGAAAGTGCACTTAGGTCGTGGAGGAGGACAATATATAACCTCCAAAAACAGAGTGAGTAATAGGAAATAAAAAACCAAAACGAAGCAAAAAAAAAGTGTCTCAATCACTCTGCATAGCATAATGAAACTCCCTAAAAAACTGAAACACAAGCAGCACATCCAGAATAAGCCATCAACATGATCCTATCCCATTCACATTTCGGGCAAAAGGCACTCCTCAAGGTGGGGGGGCATTTACTATGACCAAATAATCTTTAGGTACAGGATGAAATGAACTGCATATTGCCATTAAATTCTATCCCCTCTATCATGAGAAAGTGCCCAAAAGTCGAAAGACACGATCAATTCACCCAGAACCCAAATAAGTAGTTCCAGAAGAAAGTAGCCACCCAATACATGCGCCATTGTTTCTGAATTAGATCCACAAATAATTAACGTATGGAGAATTAAAAAAATGACACCAAAACTCAGGATACAAAAAATAGATTTTAGATAATATGACATCTAGCTCTTAGAAGAGTTCGCCTAAAAGACAAGCCTTGTATAATGGTAAATGTAAAATTAAATGCACAGTCAGATTATGAATCCCAAGCCATATGCTTGGAGAGTTGGAATAGCATGTTCTAACACATCTACAAAAGAAAAACTCTCTATTACCTTATTTTACATTAGTCAAATACAATTTTCAACTTCCACAATTCATTTTCTTCATATTCAAGAAATATCACAATATTTGATGAACAAATGAATTTCATCCCTTCCAGTTTAAAAGAATTCAAACCCTTAAATTGCATCCATGATAAGGATTAACAAAGAGCAAGTATCAATTTCCCACTGCATTAAAAGGTGTGTTTTTCTAGCCATAATCAAGAAGTATAAGGTGTAAACCTGTCAATTGCAATTGCCCATTTACTATCTATGAAATCAGTTGCCGCAAGTAATGTAGCTGGCCAAGCCAAAGCAGTTAAAAGTGTGCTTAATACAGTCATCATGGCCCCTTGCTTCATCAGCTCCATTGCAAATCCTACAGAAGATGGCAAAAATATTGATATCATACTCAACTCTGGTTATTGTACTACTAACTCAATAGTATTATAAGTCAGAGATCAAATCCCATCACTTGATGTAAGCCAATCCTGAATTGCAGTGCTGACAGCTATCAGATTTTTTGACTCCCACTGTAGTGCATACCTGGATTTTATGCAAGGTCAAGTTAAAAGTCATTTGTTTTGCTGGGTTCACCAGCCATGAGAGCATAAATTATATCATCCAATCAACACAAAATGAAGGAATATACAATTTAATATCATTGTACTAAGAACTTCAAGGGATACACTGCAAGAACACCAATCACTCATGCTGAAATCACCTCCATTGATTTCCTTACTCCATGGCAGGTGAAAACGACAATGAAGGATAATGGATATATATTCATAATTATATAATGTTTTAATTTCTTACTCATAATTATGGGGACAAGTAGGGAGGAGGAAGACGGTAAAAATATGTACCTTTCCAAGTTGTCATGCTGCCCTTCCCATGGCCTTACAAAATCATCCTCCTCGAAAACAAATCCTGAGACCAAGATCTCAACTGCTAGCCTCTGAAGTGGAATTTCAAAAATAATTTAATTTCAAGACCCTAAGCTTAGTGTAGAAACATTTCTTGATAAAAAATAAAAGGAAAGGTAAAATCAACACACATGCCAACAGATCATAAGACCAATCCGTGATGCTGGAAGAAGAATCATATGCCATCAAGTGGTGGAACATGAAAGCTATAAAAACTTACGCCCTGGTTATGGTTTTCTCCTATAGCTTTGAATTCAAATTCATCAACACCGCCAACTCTCCTGGCCATTTTGCTCCCAGTAAGACCAGCTCCCGCAGCTGGTAGAAAAGGTGTTAATAGAATTAAATACATGAATTGCTAATAATTAACTGCAGGAAAGAATCCTAGAGATGTCAAACGCATCATAGAAACGTATAAATACAATGAATGAAGGTCATGGGGGCTGCCTTTAGGATATGGCAGGTATTAATAGGTAGGCATCACTTCTCTAGTCCGTTTTAGAGTTTAATGCAAAACGACAGATAGACTTTGTAAAATTTCTTTTTCACAAGTAAGATTAAATAAAGAGTTTCTAATGTAGATTAGTTCCAATTATCTTCCAGTAACTGTGAAATTGTTAATCAATTATATACAGCAACAAAGGAATCACCACCTTTGCAACTTATTTACTTATACAGAATAACAGTATCAGCTAAGCAGCACAGGAGCTCAAGATCCACCATCTTGAGTGTGCACTAGAACACTGTGTTGAACAAAAATACACCTCTAAGACACATGAACATGTAAGAATTTCATAGTCCTGATCATATCTTTAATAAACACAATAAACTCACAAAGAAAGAGTTATTCTATACCATCCTGAGGCAAGATTCAAGAAGACTTAGTAAATTCCTGCAGATCAAGGCACACGTAGCCAAATATATACCTCCAAATGAAGCAGCAACTGCAACAGAACCAGCTACAGTTCCAGCAGCACTAGCAGCTGCAGCAAATCCACTTCCAATTATAGGGACCAGGGTGCTCAGAGTAGGAGCCAATGCACTGAGCCCTGCAGCGATTGCAGGGGCAGCTAACCCTGTTGAGTGCTTAAAATAGGTTAGCAACCAGTCAAATGCACAAGAAATTGATTCATTTGCAAACTAAATATTTCAAATTAGAGGTTGAAAAGATATTAAGGGACACATACCACCAGTAATGGCCAACAAGGTTCCTCCAGTTATTGCAGCAGCGCCAATGATGCCACCCCGCTTCCATTTAGCCCACTTGCTTTCTCTTGAATTTGCTTCTTCTTTCTTTAACTCTTGCTCTTTAACAAAGGCCATTGCAGAACAAGCAACCATGGTCTCAATGGCCTCCTGCAAAGTGAAATATTCATCTGCATCACTAAAAGATATGAAAGTGGAACCCATGAATGAGGGAACATGGAAAATGGCAACTTGAAGTGTGTAAAGTGGCAATTTTAAGCGTTAATCATAAACATACAGTGCTAGGCTCAACTTGATCAGAAAAGTGTGGAAATCAAGTGTAAAAATGATTATCACTGCAGTGAAAATAACTTCCTGACATAGCTATTATGACATTAGACACAGTAGAGAACAATTAGGCTTGTCTCTCATGGTCTCCTCAACTCCTAAAAAGATATTGTCAGATAAACATAAAATTGTCTGCTGAAAGTTCCAGTGTACAAACCATTTTTGTCCACTTGATATCAAGCCAAGTTGCAAGCAACCGCAGTGCCACACGATGTCGAGCATCATAACCTTTTCTTCTCCGTTGATATTTCTTGTTATTTTCATCCAAATCTGACAGACAAGCAGAGAGAAGCTCATACAGAACTGACACTTTCTTCTGATAGCTAAGCACCGCTACCTCTTCAATAGGTCTTTCATCAATCATATTATCAGTAAATCCCTTATGTGGGTCAGTACAGTCAAGAAGAGGAGTATCTGTCTCCTGACGAGTCTCCAAATGCACATCTAGGTTCTCAGAATCTGATTGAACATGAGGAGTTACATATTTTTCTCGACATTGATTCACATATTCACGGTGCTTCTCTTTAGACTTAGAAGACTCTGCACTTTTTCCCATGCTTTTTTCCATATTGTCAACTGCTTCTGATAAAGCAAGTTCTTGATCTGAATTTGTAGAAGAATCATCATCACTTTCTTCAGAAAGTAATCTCATGAACTGTGACATTCACATACATGGTCTCTGAGCAGAAGCTTTACAAAGCCATTGAATAGAACTAAGCACAAATGAAATAAAAATAAAAACAAATGATGATGATGAATTGAGCAGTTGCGCTCTGCAGCATGAAAATTTTAAACGAAAGAAGAAAACTGAATACAACATGGCAGTTGATGGAGAAGATAGCGACAGAACAACAGCAGTGGCCCCAATAATATCAGTCTATATGATGACACGTTAACATTGATTATGTCAAAATTTTCTTGTTTCTAGATTTTTACACACGAAATAACACAAATCTTTTAAACAATGTCTACTTATAATGTTTGCTTATATTTAAAATTTCAGTCGCTTCGCCATAAATTAAGGTCAAAAGTCAATTGAAATTTTTTTTTTTTTAATTTCTTGTTCTGATAAAATAGTTCTAGATACATGAATTAGTCATGTTTATTTATACCCTAAGATAGCCCAAAAAGAAAAGGATATGGAATTGAAAGGCACGAGAGCCAGACATGCCTGAGCTAACGTTTTCCACCTCCATTTTGGGTGGGTCAATCTAAGGCTTGCCAAATACGAATGCAAACAGAGATGAGAGTAAATTAAACCATATAGGTCCCAGGCTTATAGTTGCAGCAATTGAACTGTCCCCAACTGAATAAAAGTATGTAGACAAGTAGAAGATTGCCAGTGACAAATTTTAATAGTAACATTGAACCAAAAGCTTCACGTTATTAGAAGGCGCACACCTAAATACTTCAGTATGGGTAACTGTATCTGCATGAAGCGGATTATTTAGGAGCGAAGAAAAATGTAAAATGACATACTGGTCCCACGGGATGGCCCGACCCAGCTGTTTCTTCAAGCGCACACCAAGCAGCAGAATCAATGTCTAGAAACCTGTTCAGAGAAAATATGAAACACCACTTCATCATTGAAAAAAGCTATAAGGGTATGTATTAGATAGGTGAAAAGAGTACAAATTAGAGGGTCAAAGATTTGGTACGATACTTGAAAGGAGAAGTTTACGGATTTGAGTAATGATATGAGAAAAGCATGTCATCTTCAACACTAAAATCAGTGTGACACTAAAACTGGAAAGAAAAAGAAAAGATCACACTTGTCCATTCAAATTTACTTATTCAACTTGTCCATTCAAATTTACTTATTCAACTGTAAGAGAACCAGACAACACAACACCAACAATCCTTCGAAATATAACTGCTCAACGAAGAGGATCCAGTGTAAAATTCAAAGTAAACAACGAAAACGATCGCGCATACTTTAATACAGGGCGGAGCAGACCCGAGTTCTCATGGACCCAAAGATCCGGACATTCGGAAACGGAATCACTGCCGGAGCTACTGCTACTAGTTCGTTCCTCGGGTTGATAGTCATCGGAGAAACCTAGTGGGCAGGTCTGGTGAGTCTGAGCGTGGTGAATAGCGAGGCTGAACAGGGCTCCAGCTGCATACTTCTGCGTCGGCGTCAGAAACAACATCGCTGCCGTTGACAAAAATTCTAAGACCAGGGATGGAGGTGGAATTGAAGGCGACGAATGAACATCATTTTGGTGTTGTCCTAGCGTAAGAAAGGAGAGAGATCGCTGCTTCCAATTCGAATGGAATTGAAATCGAAGCTTGGATGTTTGCGGCGTTATGCAGATTAAAAGATTGTACTGTGCTGTTTCCGTTGTCCGTTGCTTGCAAAAAGTGTCCGCTGCTGACGGGCCTGACGTGCTGAAGCCACCGTTTCAGCGCTTGCGGCATGAGAACTGTTCTTGTGCGGAAGCCAAAAAAAAGAAAAAGGAAAAAAGAAAAAAGAAAACAAAAAGAAAGAAAGACTTGGGGGGAAAGAAAGACCGGGGGTGTTTGGTAACGTGAAGATATGGTTTTAAAAAATACTCTTCCGGTCCTTAATATAGGACCTATTTAACTAATTTGATTAGATTAAGGAAGTTAGGTAAGTTAGTTAATTATAAGAAATGTGACACATTTTTCCTAAAACACCATAATCATCTTTCTTAATGCCTCCTCTCATTTTTCTACTTGATTGTGATTGAGAGAGTATCTATAGGGGTAATTTAGAGAAAATTGATAAATATGATAAATGGGTCTTATATTTAGGACCAAAACCAACTCAACAATTGGGTCTTATATTAAGGACCGGAGGAGTACTTCTTTTATCTTAAATATAAGATCCTGGTTCTAAATATAAGGGTCTTATATTTAGGACCGGAAGAGTATTTTTTATAAAATAAAATAAAATAAAATTTTTTACATATTTATTTCGTATATTGTAAAAATATTTTTAAAATTAGTTTTCATCCAAATACTTCCTTATTCTTGCCTTTTGAAGCCTCGAACACATGATTGTGCATTGGATTGTGGAAATTCATGGTTTTTAAAATATTGTTTTTGAAGTATCTACAGTACTGTTTTTAAATATAAAATCCATTTAGAAGAGTATTATATTTGCCTATCAAGCGGTGTTATGGGGGAAAAAACTGGTCAATCTTAAAATTTACTACAGTTTAATTAATAAAAGTGAAATTCAATTGGATTTTAACTGGAACCAAAATGCGGGTTGGGGTGTGTGTCTGCCCTTTGGAAGAGGAGTCATGTTAAATTGTTCAAGTTAAAAAAAAGTTAATATTCTTCCGGTCCTAAATATATGACCCTTATACTAGTGTATAAGGGTCATATATTTAGGACCGGAGGAGTAGTAGTATAGTTTTTTGTCCTTAAAATTTAAATTGATTTTAGTCTGTCAAATTTTAATACCGTGTTTTTAGTCTTCAGAATTTAGTTTGTTTTACAACATTAATCTTTGAATGTGTAATGGTATTAAAATCTGCTGAAATATCATCAATGACATTAAAAGTAATAATGTAGACTCACCAAATAATATCTAATTAGATATTGTGTGAATAACATAATACAACACAATAAATAGTTCCTGAAATGAACAGAGTGAAGTAAAAACAAGGGGCTAAATAGTTACGTTTTGAGAATGATCCACACAACATCCAAGTGTCATATGGTAAGTCTATATCACCGCTTTAATGTTGTTTATAATATTTGAGTAGATTTTAACATCATTACACCTCATTGGACTAACATTTTAAGATAGATTAAATTTCAAAAACTAAAACCATAGGTTTAAAATTTGGGGACTAAAACCAAAATAACAAAGATATCTTAATAAATTTAAATTGGATTTATGGTTAACTTGCGTTTGTTGTAATTTCCGGCTGGTGATATAGAGATAATGGAAGTTGATGAATACTACTCCCATCATTATAACAAGTAAGCAAAAATTTTTAATTCTAATTATAAGTCACTTGTAAATATTTAATAATTTTTTAATTTTATACTTATTTAATTATTATCATTGAAAAGAAAGAGAGGGGAAATGTGAAAATTATTTATAAATGTTGAGAGAGATAAAAATTTAATAAGAGTAAATTTAAAATTTTTTATCAATTTAATGCATTTATTGGTATATCTAAATAAGTAATTTATAATGAGAATGGGAATTATATATAATTGAGTCTTGAACATTTTAGTTATATAGCTTTCTTCCATTTTCACTACTTTTGTACTTTAAAATTGGACTGTTAGGGTTTTTGTACTTTTTTATAAACTTTAATTTATTAAATAAATTACTTTTGGACCTCATTCCCACAAAGCTGTATGAGCTTGTGCCTAAAGGATAATATGCAAGAATTGTCTTATTGCCCTCAAAATAGAGGTTTGAGAAATTCAATGGTTTTAGAGGCCACGCGGTGGTGTGGGGGGCTTCTCCCCTTTTTTCACTGTCCTCTTTTCTCTAGTTTTTTCCTTTATTATTAGATCAACTTTAAACAGTTGAGAGATCAACACAATTAGTGTGAAGTCTTGGTCAATGTCCTTTTCATTTCGGTTCTTCTCTCGTTTTATTATTCTATGAACAATACTAACCTTATGACCAATATCGTCTCTATTTTTGTGGCCTTGTGCACTTTTTTAGATTGACATACTGATTCCTCATTGATTAGTTCCACCATAGGACTCACAGTTGGCATATTTGAATTTCAAACTTCGAAATTCCTTCCATCCTCATTGATTGATCATCCCTTCCCCCTCTTGCATGGGAGCGGCTTTCCTCCTATGCTTTTATGATTCACTTACTGTGCGTTGCCTACAAATGACGTCATTGGGTGAGAAAGTAGAATCCAAGTCACATAAATTAGACGACAGCGTTTAATATGAAATCATGCTTCCCTTCTTTCATTCAGCAGTAAGTCCCGTTTTTATTTCCCGTGTTCTGTTCTTCTTCCTCCAACAACACCAGAAAGTTGAAGGTACTAGAGTGAAAAAGTTTCTTAGAAGACTCAAAGAATTTCAACAAGAGGGATGTATGGGGATGAATATTAAAGATTGGTAAGGACATAAGTTTCTTCTTCTTTTGCATCTTTTTAAATTTTTCTGTAAAATGAGTTAATTCTGAGTCAATTCAAAAAGGAACTAGTTTTGAGAATGGAGGAGAAGCAAAAATAGCAATGGAAAAGCACTGTTTTCATCTCTTTCTTATATGTTCTTTTCATGTGTGGGTGAGTATTTGAATTAAAAAGACAAAAAAAAAGAAGAAAAAAACCACCTAGATTAGCGACATACTGTGCAAATATGTGTATATATTTTAATGAAAAGAAAGATTCAAGAGAGTTTTGGGTATGTATGTATGCTCTGTTTATTTAATATATTTGTTTATATGTGTGTGTGTATGCTCCACTTCAGTTAATGTATTTATTTGTATGTGTATACAGTCTGTAATTATTTTATTCACTTATTATTAATTAACATTATATACTTTTCAATTTCGTAGGAGGCTTAAACCATGGCAATAACTTTGACTCCTACGCTCAATCTTGTATTTGATGATATAGAAGCATCCTAAGAATTTTGGATGGCATATGGTGAAAAAATTGGTTTTGATGTTTGAAAGCAAAGATTTAACAAGAGCAAAAAAAAAAAAAAAGGTCAACATATTCATGTTATCTATATGTTTGTAAGGAAGGGGTGAAACAACCAAACAAACGAGAAGTGTAAATGAGAAAGCCTAAAGATGAGGCAAGAACGAGCTGTAAAGCTAAAATGAAAGTTAAGCTCGTAAATTAAAAATATAAACTAAGTGAAGTTTTTTTAGGTCATAATCATCCTCTTCAACCTCTTGAAGCTGTTTACCTACTTGCATTATATCAAGGATTAACACCAGCTTAACATTACAAATTAGAAAATGCTGAAAAAGCAAGGATTAATAAAAAATCAACATTCAATTTGAAAAGCTAATATGTAGGAAGTCGAGGCAGAATGCCATGTAATACAGAGAAGCTAGATGTAAATTTCATTATTTTGAACAACAATTAGCAAAAAATCTATTTTTTTTTTCCATGCTCACCAAATGGACTTAAAGGAGAAAGTGATAAATGTGTTATGGGCTTATGCACGCATGTTGGTCAACTATGCTTGCTTTGGAGAAGTTGTTTTACTTGATAAAACTTATGGCACAAATAATAATCATAGATCTCTTGTAATTTTCTTCAGATTCAATCATTACAAAAGAGGGGTGATTTTTGGAGTGACATTGTTATATGATGAGACCATTGAGACTTTCAAATGGCTCTTTGAGACATTTTTGTGTGCAAACAAGAATGTAAAGCCACTAGCTGTTTTTACTGACCAAGATACTACTATGGCACAAGTACTACAAGAAATTATGCTAGAAGTAAAACATGCCTTATGTACATGACATATTTTAAAGAATGCAATGAAGCACCTTCCAAATTTAGTCGTTAAGGACTTCAACAACTGTATGTATCATTGTTTGGCAAGCATTACTATCAAAACAAGATATGGTAGAAATTCTTGTGTTTTTTTCTTTATTACTGATGCATGCTCTTAACCTAGAAAATGCATAAAAATTATGGAATTAATTCAAATATCAAGTTCATGAAACCTTAAGCAATTGCAATCCGCATCAATAATAATAAAATCTTGATCACAAAATTTACCTGTTGGACTTGTGCTCGTGAAGTGTTAAACTGATATTCCATACAATAAACATTCCCATTAATTGTTGGACACAAACTTTGGATTTTGGAGGAAAGGAAATCACCAGGTTGAGAAATATAAGATTCAAAATATCAAGAGAAGTTTGGAATTTTTTTTTCAGCTATAATAATTGATGTATCTATTATGATAATGAGAACAATAAACAATTGTTTTGTATCTAAAAAATTGTCAACAAATTGGCCAACAACATGTGCATTTAAACAATGTAAAATCAGGGTCATGGCATGCTTAATATTGTAATGTCGACAATATACTATTGGAATGAGCATTCTCCTCTCTGTAAGAATAAGGGTATGCAAAAAAGTTCAACACATCTTAAACATTGAATTGATACATTCCAGTAAAGCTAATTAATTGAGGTGCTGCTACATTTAGTCCATCAAAACTATAATATGTTCCATTTATATTGTCCTAAATAGTAGTCCATTATGCCCTCCCACAATTAGATGCAAGTAGGCAACAGAACAGGTCATATGGATGAAAAAAAGCAAGAGAAATATCGGTTTTTAATCATTTACAAACAACAATCACTAAATCCCTCACATGTCCACCTTTGCTCCCTCTGATATAGTTTCTTTTCATGTGAGCACTATACAAATTATAGTCAATCTCACATTCCAGCTTATTCACCTACGA